CAATTATAGATTCGGGAGCAGCTGTGTTGGCTATTTCACTAAGAGTGGTCGAAAGGGCATGTAGGAAAAACAATCTGATCATGCTCACTGAGAAAGATCAGCTCGTTTCGGCAGATGAGGAAAAGATCAAAACTGTGGGGAGAATGACCAATGTCGCCTTCCGATTAGGAAAAGTACACGTGCTTGGGGATGTCGTAGTATTAGATGTTAACACGTACGACGTTCTTTTCAGACTTCCCGCTCTTGTGGCGTTACGAGCGAACCTGGATTTCGAGCGACGATCGATCGCTCTCCGAAATACAGGAGGAAAACCCTACGCTGTGCCCATGCGATTGACCCTTCGTACCACCATTAACACGGTCCCGCGGGTTTCGCCGATGATGGCAGGGACTCTCCGCATGATCTCATGAGATAAGTCGGCAGATGAAAAGTCATCAACGATCGATGCTGACAGCAGTGACGAAGATGATCCGGAGATCCTGAAATCGGTACGACAACGCGTTTACTACCCGCCGCCCAAAACGATAGCGAGAACGATGCAACTGACCAGCCGAAAAATTCAAAGGACCAAGGCGATGATCTTGGGTGAGCCCCTCGTGCAGATTTCGAGGATGGTCGACTCTTTGGAACCCCCTGAAACTCTGTACAAAGGAATCACCCCTCTCCTCGCCAGGTATAGCGACAAAAAGCATTATTGCCACATTACAGATTTACCCAAGTCTTTATTGACATCTGCTAAAGAAGTGAGATTGTTACGCTTGGGGGCGGAAGCGAGTTCTCTGGAACCCCCTGGGCGTTTCGAGGCAGAAACAGGCGAACTAGGGATAAAGATCGCAACTAAAGACGTTCCATGGCAAGATGTTTGCGACGGAATTACCCCGGAAGGACATGTGGCAATCCGGGAAAAAGATGCCCAGATGATGGCTACGGTGTTCTCCTGGCGATCGGACCGTTCATTCATCTCGACGCCTCCACCCGACAGGCAAAACAAGCGAGCACGAAACAGATTCACGTTCGGATCTGGGACCAACTTTTCGAACTGCACGTTCCACAGTACGTGCCCGATGAAATCCACCGGGTAATTGCGGATATTCTAACGGAATATCAAGGAGCAATTAGTGTGTCAGACACTGACATTGGGTTCTCGTTAGTAATCCAACATGAAATTCAGATAGGAAATCACTCCCTGATTCATTGCAAACCCTACCGGTACTCCTTGATTGAACGCAAAAAAGCTCTCGAACGAATTCGGGAGTTCAAAGCCAACGGCTGGATTGAACCCGCCACCGGACCTTGGTCGTTTCCCGTGGTGTTAGTACCTAAGAAAAACGAAGCGATTCGCATTTGCATTGATTATCGCAAACTGAATGAAATCGCGATCAAAGATGTGTATGCCCTCCCCCGGATTGACGATTTGCTGGATGTGATTGGGAGTGCTAATTATTTTAGCAAGTTTGATATTCGGCATGGGTTTCATCACATTCTGGTTAAAGAGGAGGATCGACCGAAGACAGCCTTTGTGTTGTTAGAGGGTATGTGGCAGTGGGTTCGGTGTCCGATTGGGATTTGCAATGCGCCTGCCACGTTTCAGCGAGCGATAAACATGACGTTCCAGAATTTCGTCAACAGGACACGGCTGACACAAGGGATGGTTAACTTCTGCGTGATCGTGTACATGGATGATATCCTGGTCTATTCGGAAACCTATCACAGGCACGCGCAACATATCGAATGAACATTGGGAGCGTTGGAAGACGCTGGGTTCAAGATTGTGCTTGAGAAGAGCGAATTTTTCCTCTCGGAAATTTCGTTCTTGGGCTACGTCGTGACACGTGGAGGATTGCGGCCGGACTCGAGAAAAGTTGCGGCGGTGAAGGAAGCCCCGGTTCCCACATCACTGACGCAGGTTCAAACCTTCTTGGGGCTGGCGTCGTACTACCGGCGCTTCATCAAGGGTTTTGACGCGATTGCACGACCACTAATGAATCTGTTACGGAAGGACCAGCCTCTCACCTGGGACGCGGAGTACCAGCAGGCTTTTGCGACCCTCAAGGACGCTCTGGCGACGGCCCCTATTTTGATTCGGTCGGACCCCTCGAAGCAGTTCATTCTCATCACGGACTGGCAACCGGAGGCTATTTCCGCTATTTTAGCGCAGAAGGGGAACGATGGTCGTGAACACGTCATCGAATACGCGTCACGCACCATACCGGATGAACGAAGGAATGACTCGGCACCTCAAGGCAAATGTTACGCAGTAGTCTAGGGAATCCAACACTTCCATCCGTATCTTTACGGATAGAAGTTTCGCCTCGTGACAGATCACGAACCCTTGTTGGCGCTGCAGAAACTCACCAACTACACGGGCATGATTGGCCGTTGGGCGGTGCGACTGCAAGAATACGACTTCGATATTGTCCATCGAAAGACAGAGCGACAAGGCAACGCGGACGGGCTGACATGTCTACATTGACATGCCAAGGTACCAAAGGGCGAGGAAATTACACCGTGGAAAGAGCTGAACTCGACCAACGAGCCGAAATATGGACAAGTGGCGGTTCTTCCACGTGGCAAGAAGTAAAACTGTGGCGATGGGTGATGGAGGTAACCCCACTACCTCTCTCTTTCCCCCTTCCTTTTCGTCTCTCCTCTCCTTGCCTGACAAGTTTTGCTATTTTTGCGAAGCCATCTCCCGCATATACGCGGTCTCCATGCGTCCTAACGGGGAAGGGTATGCGGATTGGATAGATTGCCGACAGTGTGTCGCACGAGCCCATGGCTCGTGCATCCAATACAGGAACAATAGTAAACCGTGGTTGTGCCACTTGTGCCGGACCAACAAGATTCCGACCAAGGATCGCTTCTTGGATGCCACGTCAGAAGGGTTGGAAAAGACCCGGAAGTTTAGAAGGGCCGAAGTATGGACTGATATTGCCTTAATTGCCACCCTCGTAGGTACCCCCTCCAGGATTTCACCAAGGAAGATCGGAGGAGGGCCAACAAAAGGGCTCGGGATTATCGGTGAACAGAAGGTAGATTAGAAAAACGAAAAACGAACGGCAGTGGGATTTGGATGGTGGTACCGCATCCGTTCATGCGGTATGACTGGGTTAAGACAGCCCACAATGAAACTGCGGCTCATTTTGCCGTACAGATCATAGAGTCCGCTATCGACAAAAATGAGTGGTACTGGTCCAATATCCGCGACGATGTGAAATACATTGTTGCCAACTGTCAAGTCTGCGCCGCTGATAAAGCGCCGATTCAACCATCAAGATCGATAGTGCCCACGGTTGTTGAACGGCCATTTCAAAGAGTGAGCATGGACACTACCGACATAGTGGTGCCCCCTGGCCCTAGTAGTTGCGAATATTCAGTCCTATTGGTATTTGTCGACCATTTCTCGAAATGGATTGAAGCGTATCCTTGTCGCACACGGCAAGCCACGGAAATCGCACGATATGTCAACCGTTTCCTCAAGATGCATCAGGATACGGAAGAGATCCTGACCGACAACGGGGCCGAATTCAGAGGGGAAGTGTTAAGGAATCTGGTCATACATGGCGTCACCATACGGAACACTGCACCCCACATGTCACAGATCAATGGGCTGGTTGAAAAAGCTAACCGGGTGATAAAGACAGCATTGCGACGAAACATCGAGGCGCGGGATCCGAGGCCCTGGCCCGATATCGTCGATCACATCTTGGCGGTCCATCGAGGAACGCCCCACGAATCGACAGGGTTAAGCCCCTTCCAATTAAGGACCAATAGCATCGCTTGTGTTTCGATACCAAGCCTCCCAGATGAGTCTACATTGAACCGACGGCCCACCAGGGCCACGACTAGGGACAAGGCCAAACGACACCTAGAGCTCATGGAACAGTCACTGCCCAGGCTAGCCCGAAAACGATAGAAAATGACCGAACTAGCCCAAGGCCGGAAATGGGAATGCGGGTCCGCGGCCGCAGTACAAATTGGGGGATGTGGTGCAGGTGAGGAAATGTGCTCGCCAAGGTAAGCAAGCGCCACGATTCTTCGAGCGATATCGCGTGATCGAGCTCGGCCCCAACGGCGTGGACACCGTGCGTCTCGCCCCTGAAGTCTCTGGCAGCCGATTGGCTCGCCCGATCACACGCCACGTGTCCTATCTTCGCCTCCTCCCCTCTGCTCCGTCTCCTTCTCCCTCGATCTCTCTCTCTGAGGAAGCCGACGACGACGACTCTGACTCTCTGCCATCTCCCTCTTCCTCTTGCTCCCTCTCTGCCTCCCCGTCACCGTCGCCATCGCCATGAGTTTTCTGGAGGAGAGAGCCCTCAGCGAAGCAGCGCTTGCGCCCCGTGATCGATTGACGATCCGGCAGGTCTATCATCCCTGCCTCAGTCCACATCTTCGGCGGCTTGCGCACTTCTTCTGCACGGAAGGCGTGTACGCAGCAGCGGTATTCAAAATCGAAGGCCGGCTTGACGTGGTGGTACAGGCCGAAGCCGTAGCAGTTCACCAGCGAGCGGTGCCAGTGGTCAGCCGTATATCTGTCGTCATCAACTTCCGGGGCGATCTCTCCACGCTCCTCCCCCTATGGCATTCAGCGGTGAAGGCATCGCTGCGCGCGTGGGCAAACGACCTGGTCGTCGAGTGGACCCAGCTTCTGGCTCGTCTCGGAGATACAGTCGCAACGACCCGAGCGATCGAATACGACGGCCTTCGGATGTATCAGCGCGAGCCGCCAACAGATCTCCCTGTCCTCGTTCCCTTCCCACGTCCCCAATGAGTCTCTCTCTGATTTCCGTTTTTGATCTCCCCTCCACCTTCCCCACCTTCTGGCAGTCCGACATCCATCCTCGTCTTTCCTATTGTCTAAAGCCCCTTGTTGTCCCCTTTCTCCATCCTCCCCATTGGGTCTTGTGGCACGAAGACTTCATCGAGCTTTCACTGTGCTTGGTTGAGGTACAGCTGACGTGGATCGAGGACGAAGCGCACCCGCCTTGCCTAGAGCGCCTGGAGTTGCTGTTTATCCAGGCCTGGCGAACCAACGTGGAGGGAGAGCTTCTCGCGTTTTTATTCGGTACAGTGCGGCCCGGTCATCAGGAACTCATCATGCAAGAGCTCACGATCCCGGTAGCACAGCTGGCGGACGATCTCCCTCTCGACATCATCTCGCAAGACGACGAGCATCTTGTTCCCCACGTACTTTCTCGCACATTGGGACCTTATCTTCCGAGTCAGTGGCCGGCTTGCGTAGAAGGAGTCGCGGAGTGCATCCTGCCGTCGCAGCAACAATATTTGGATCCCCGGAGGATTCGCGATCCTGCCTTCTTCAAGCACCCTACAGCAAAGCAGTTTGCTGCCATTCGAGAAGAAGAGGAGGAAGAAGAAAGCATCAGGAGTGACAAAGCCGAAGACGTGCTGGAGGAAGGCGGGGATAGCGACGAAGAGCTCGGTGAAGAAGACGAAACCCCCGAGGAGGGAAGCTATAGCGAGCATAGTGAGGGGGAACAGAGCGAAGAAGAAGAAGAAGAAGAAGAAGAAGACGAGGAAGGAGAAGAGGAGCACGAAGAAAAGCCTGCTGGATCGGAGTGGGAAGCCGTGCCGGAAGAAGCGCAGCGTACGGGTACAGAGGCGGAGGATCTCGAGGCGGCCCGCAAAAGAGAAGAGATCACGACCAGGAAGGAGTTAGAGCTCGCAAGCGCGGCGAGTCTGCAGATCCACGACAACCCGAACCGAGATCCGGAGCCGCCCCGACCTGAAGATGGTGACCTCGCGGCCACGACTCCGACCCCATCAACGTGGCGACGGGGCCGATCCCCCTCCTCCCCAACCCGTCCCCCAGTTCGCCGACGTACCGATACGAGCGATCCTCCTTCGTCCCCAATTACTCTCTCGCCGTCCCCTTGACTACCTCACCCTTCGCCAGCTCACCACCCCCATCACGTTCCCCTCCAATACGTTTCCCCGCGACACCTTCCGCCACTTCTACGCTGCTCGCCTCGCTATAGTGGTGCATCCCCACCCCTCCATTCCATGCGCCGTCCTAGCCTTCTGCCTCCATGCCTTGCTCCTTAGTGACGCGTGGCAAGGCCACAATATGATCGATGTTTATTGCGTGATAACGGGGACCATCCCCGCATGCGAAGATCGAGATCGTTTCCACGCGGCACATTTCCGGACTCTCACCACCCTCTATCCCAATTATCTTGCGTCCCTCCCTCGCACTCGCAACCGCTTCCCCCGCTTCCACCACATTGTTCGTTACCAAGAGCTCCTGGAGACTGTAGCCGGAATTGAAGGTCTCCTACCCCCGCTACCCATAAACCATCCACCCCGCCATGCTGCCATGTACCGACTCCCCTTCCCCCTCCCGGTTAATTACTGAGGCAACAGGTAATAGACGCGTGTCGCGACGACGACACGAGAAAGATTATGTCCTTGGATCGTCGAGAGCCCAATCTGAGGAACTAGTAGAAGAGCAGAGTTGCCACGTTGGATGACGTCCACACGCAATCGAACGGTAAGTGGCATAAAGAGAAGTGTTCCGCGTGTCGATCGATTAGAGAAATCGACACGTGTCAACAAGCAAGCAGGAGCTTGCTAATACTGGAACCCCCTGGGCGTCACATATGTGACGAACCACTTTCTGTAACACGCAATTTTCTACGCGGTTGCAACGAGGGGTCCTCAGCTGGGAAGGTTGGGCCAATTACGGGAGATCGGGATCGATGAAAAATTGCATCAGTACCCTTGTTTTTTGTCTTTTTCGTCGCTTCCTATCGGATGACTGGGTTCGGAGCTGGGTGTGTCCTGGGACGGTCGGTGGATTGATTGGTCAGATAGATGTCTGGCGCGCCACCGCGCACGCAATTGATAAATGTTGACGTCGTTTCTTTCGTTTCGGTTTTGCTTTTTTGGGCGCGGACATCGCACGGGAAATTGCTTCGTTCTTTTGAATTTTCTTTCGAGTCTTTTTCGAATTTTGTTGAGCCCCGATGGCTCTCGGAATTTCGGACTTTCCTTCGGGAATTCGTCCTTTTTGCTTTTTCGCATTAGATAGGAATTTAGGAATTCAGTAATTATGACTTTTTTTTTTTCTGCCACGCGGCGCCTTTTGTCTACGCGCTTCTTCATGCGGCTGCAACGGTACTCTGATTAGTGAGCGCCCTTAATCGTGTGTGTAACTATAATTTTGGGCAGGCGCCATTGTAACTGTATCTTTCTTCTTGCACTTCATCTCTCCCGCCCTCCCTCTCTTTCTTTTGCTGAAATTTCTGTAAGTCGCGGCTTGCATGCTCGGATCGATGCATGGAGAAGGGTTACGTTCCCCACGCCGCGGCCGATCATGCAGAATGCAGGCGCTCCCTCTCTAATCCCCACTCTAAGTCCTGGTAATTCCGTGTTCTTCGCGCATGCATGCATGCTATAAATTTCGGCTGCGCGATTAGTTAGCTCTCTTAACCCGTTGTTGGAAGCTCGGGGTTGCGCGATCAATAAGGGTTGGCACACGAGCGAAGTAAGAGGTGAGTACAGTAGGAGCTGGGCGACCCAACGGGCTGGTGCCGAACGCGCGGGATTGACGTGGGCCACGACGGACTGTGGGCACGGGCGAATCCGACGGGTGCGGGAGGACTAAGCGGGGTGACAACTTTGTGGGTTGGTGCGTCACGACGGACTGTCCGCATCGGAGAGAGAGAGAGAGAGAGGAGAAGAGAGTTGAGGTCGATGGACGCGGATTTGCTGTTTCTTTGTCTCTTCCCCCTCTTCATCTTTGTACATACATTTTGATTGCGGCCTCGGGCGGTCTGCCTGTTCTTATTTTCGTTTCGGCTTTCTGGAATCTGGACTTGGGTTTTTGCTAACACTTATCTCTGCGATGTCCGTTTCGATTACATTATGTGTACGCCTGCTGACTGTATGGATGTATGGATGCTATGCTTGCTTGTCTATCTTTTTGCTGAACTTCCATGTCCTTGCTTTTGTCTGGGTCGAATCTTTGCCTACACCTGATGCAGCTGTAGATGGGATAAGAACTTGACCCCGATAGCGATTTCGTTCTCGTTGTGCTTGTCTCACGATTGGATTGTGATATGATTGCATCTTGCATAATCGAAACTTCCGAAGCAATCAGACGATCCGAAGTCTGGCCCCGCCAATGCCACGCGAAAACACGTGTAAACGCGACCCGAGTCGCGCCCTTACACGCATTCCCGTGTGTCGATTCACCCACCCAAAAAGATTCGCGGCGGAACTGTCATCCCGTACGAGCACGCTGAGGCGCCACTGAGTTCGCCTGTCCTGCACGTGCTCGTGCGCGGTGACGATAACCCGACCAGAGTTATCCCATATACGATGATACCATGACGCGATTTTTGAGCTCAGACTCATCCTACGATCCGGACCCCCTTGGATAAACGAGCTCATAAGGCTGCGATACCCTTGTCATCCCGGGATTTGTTGTCATCACCACCAGTTTCCCTCCTTTCCGCCTTCTTCTCCCGTATCATCAACTCAGCGTCGTTCCGTGGCCGGCCATAGCCCCCTATTGGCCCAGTACGTTTTGTGTGAATTGCCGACGTAGCGGCGAACAGAGAACTCCAGAATCCCGAAGGCCCAATCCAAGTACGAGGCGGCCTGCGCCACGTGGCGGCCACCGACGGCCTAACTTTTCGGGACCACCTCCACCGCGGAGAGATTTTCCCGTAAACCATCGCCCACAGTGCCCCGGCCCCATCGGACCGTGAGTCCCTTGCGCGCGCACTCGCCTAATTGCATTCATACCCTTAAGACTCCACCACTTTCCCAAAAATCCTTGGCACACCCCTTTTCGCACTTCCAGGCCCATATCCCACTCCGATCAGGAAGTCGCGCTGGGCGTGAGGTTGGGCGTCACAACCTAAGAGGTTGGTGATTGAAGCACACATCAGAAGCACAAAACACCTACAACTCTAGGAGGTTCCTGTTTGAAGCAAAAATTTCCATCTTATTCTGCACCCCGTAGTCTGAAGTCCTTAACTTCGTGTCAAAGCCTTTATGGAGATCATGTGCACCTCATCCGGTCTGATTATCCAGACTCGAATCATTACGCCACATTGATTGGTTATCATTGGGGTTTGTGTTGATCCCAGAAAAGGGGAAAGAAAAAAATTCCTCCCTTGTACAAAGAGATTTAAAGAAAATGGACAACAAAAAACGAAGAGACGACAAGGAGCAGAGGTCCAGAAGGGACCGGGAAGGGGGATAATTGGTAGAAAGAGCCCACGCCAAAAACTTTTCGCCAGTACATCTCAGAGAGAGATAAATGTCTAGAAATCTGTAATTAGCAGATGAAAAACTCCGCACAAAAAAAAAAAAAAAAAATAAAAATAAAAAAAAAATCGGTTTTGGCCGCCCAAAACTCGGCCGTTTGGTACTACCGGCCCAAACGTTTTCAGTCTAGGTGAAAGGGCGCCTTCGCGCTGTGGCCTCATCACCCTGGGCCTGTTTTTACCGGTTCAAGAATTTGGCCCTGTTTTTGCGCCAGATTCATGAACTGGTATGGCTCTT